AAGATTTTATTTATTTATTTGAGAGAGAGAGAGAATGAGAGACAGAGAGCATGAGAGGGAGGAGGGTCAGAGGGAGAAGCAGACTCCCCGCCAAGCAGGGAGCCCAATGCGGGACTCGATCCCAGGACTCCAGGATCATGACCTGAGCCGAAGGCAGTCGCTTAACCAACTGAGCCACCCAGGCGCCCGTGAAGCATGATTTTAAATCATATTTTCTAACTTATTCAGCGTCCACTGTTTCCTAGCCTTGTCCTACTTGCATGGGATACAGAGATGAAAGTTACAATTCCTGACTTGGGGACACTCACAGTCCAGCAGGGAAGAAGCACCAGTAAGGGAAATGAGGAAGAGGCAGCAAAGCACACATACTGGACAAATACAGGCTAACAAGCTCCGTTTTCTATTACAATAAGATGGCGCTGGTTAAAATAACACAATCTCTTTTCTTATCCATTTTCTCACCTATACACTCTTGTTCTGGGGATCAAATTACCGTCATATAGAATGTAAGTGAAGATTGGATTTAGTGCTTAGGATACACGCCCCGCTAACAGTGGATTCACAAAAAAAAAAAAAAAAAAAATGGCATGTTGGCTTTCCTCCTTCCTGCTGATCCAAAAGTACCCATTCATTGGAAGAAGTCCCCCAGAAGAGTGGGCAGGTACTGCTAACTGATGGCCACACAGCTTCCCCCCCGCCCCCCGCCTCTTTTTAAGATTTATTTATTTTATTTGAGAGAGAGTATGAGTGCAGTTGCGGGTGGTGAGGGGAGGATCAGAAGGAGAGGGAGAGAAGCGGACGCCACGCTGAGCAAGGAGCCCCACAAGGGCTCCATCTCCTGACCCTGAGATCATGACCTGAGCCAAATCAGGAGTGGGATGCTTAACCAACTGAGCCACCCAGGCACCCCAGCTTTTCCCTCTTAGAATTTCCCTAGAAATGCAACTGAAGCCAGGAACTCAGCGCCAGAGGGGGTTGTGGCTCTTTGGCTGCAGGATCCAGATGTCCCACTTAATTAGACCTGGCTTTTCTGCACCTTCCCAGGGGGAACTTTTCATCTCCTCACGTGGACGGGGACCAGTGCTGGGCACCCAGAACAACAAGTACAGATGCCCCGCTGCCACCTGGCACGCAGAGTGCTGGCTCCCCCCTTCCCTTGCCAGCCGCTCTTCATCGGAGCCCACAGATCCCCACCAGAGCTCTTCTGGGCGCCAGCCCCGCCGAGGTCGTCTGCCCGCCCTGTCCCGCGCCCAGTGGGACTGCAGGCGCTGGAGGACAGGGTGCAGACGCCGCGTGTGGAAGAGGGAAGGACAGCCGCCTCAGGTCCACCCTGCGGCATCCTCCCGCCGCGCCCTCCCTTGCCGAACGTGCGCGGAGTGAAGGAGGCCGCCTGCTCCCGAGAGGGCCGCGTGGGGCTCCGGAGACTGCGCACGGGCAGATTCAGGGATGGGGCCAGGAGCCCCAGGATCCACTTGGCAAAGGTCCGCGGGGTCCAAGGTCCGCGGGGTCCTCGTCAGGTCGGAAGGTTCCTGCAAGCCGCCCGCCCTTGAGCCCAGGGCTGAGCCTCCCGCCTGGACGCCGCACACGCCGCGGGCACTCGCAACACCTCCCTGGCCCGGTCCAGTATCTTAAGGAGCTGCCAGCAGCTTCTGCGCGCCCGGCGTGTTGGTTTTGTTTGTTTGTTTGTTTTTTAAGATTTTTATTTATTTGACAGCAAGAGACACAGCGAGAGAGGGAACACCAGCAGGGGGAGTGGGAGAGGGAGAAGCAGGCCTCCCGCCAATGGCCCGATGCGGGGCTCGATGCCAGGACCCCGGGATCATGACCTGAGCCGAAGGCAGACGCTTAACGACTGAGCCACCCAGGCACCCCACACCTGGCGTTTTCTAAGTTCTTGGAGAACCGCTCCTTTGAAGCCCTCCAGGCCCCCAGGGTCCCTGCGCGTTCGCTACTCCTGGACATCTTGCAAGGCTAAAGGAGCACAAGGTTTTTCCTCGGAGGCTCTTGAGATCCCGATCCTGGGGGATGGGAGCTCTCTGGTGCCACAAGTTCCTGAGAGCGGGCGTCTGGACGCGTTGCCACTAGGGGGCAGCTCGGTTCTCTGTCCCCTGGCCTCAACCACCTGTAACCCCGCGCTGCGCGGGAGCCTCTGTGAAATAGGGACTTCTGGGGCTGGCTCCAAGGACGCCAAAACGTCCCTGTGACCCATCCAGCCCCTGAGCTGGATTTGTTGGAGCCAGGCTCTCTATGGTAGCTGGATGCTGGAACCCGGGTCAGTAGCGAAGCTCCCTCTTGAACTTGGCCGCCTTCTGCACTGGACCCGCATGGCATGTACTCCTGAACCAGATTTCAGAGGTGCGTGTTTGGCTACCTGGCTCCTGCCGCATCCACGACCAACTGTACTTTTGTCTACTCAATATTTTTCCATAGATCGACTTATACACTCAATGTTTTTTCCAAAGAAAACATCGTAAACCTAACAAAATCAATGTGATTTGCATTTCTGAAGGTAACAAAAATAATGAAAACAGTGAAATTATGTGTCTAGATTAAAAAAAAAATAAAGAAGAGACGAAAAATACAAATATATTTAATAACAATTTGACACTGCATCCTGGACTACCCATCCTGAGAAACACAGGAGGCGTTTGACTCAGGCCACATAATCTTTTTTAAAAAAATATTTCTATTATTTCCTATTGTCTTTTCAAAATAGCTTGGAGAAATAAGCTCTTATTAAGCAATCAAACGTTAATTTTCTCGCTAATAAATTCAAATCTCTTTTGGGGGGTCAAGTTTTTATGCCAAATAAAAACTAACTACAGCATTATCAGTCCCATTGGATATCTAGGGAAAAAACAGTGAAGGTTATTCTACAAGAATTCAATAAGAATAGAATGATACAGATCAACATTATTTGTAAAACTGAGGCTATTTACATACTAGCCACAAACACTACCAGCAGTCCGCAGACTCTTCAGCCACAGTTCCAGCTCCCTAACAGCTTCTCAGTAATCTCCAGGTGCCCTGTCAGTCTTCAGCTTAGGACAGAGGGATCTTAAACTAGGGACAGGAGGTGTAGCAGACCAATCCTTGAAATGTCCACACCAAAACCAAGATCAGGAGAATTTGCTGCGGCTCTTTTGGAACCAGAAGCCAAGGCCCCGCTGGGTCTCTTAGCCCTGGCACCTCACTTCTGCAGCAACCAGGAAAGGAATCTGGAATCTCAGCCACAGGACACCTGCTGTCTGATCATGTGTGTGTGTGTGTGAGTGTGTGTGGTGGGGGTGGGGGATGGGGGCCATGCTGGGGAAGACAGGTTAGAATGTCCTCCCTCTGCACCATTCCCACCCCACTCAGGGCTCTGGTTCCTTTTCTATTTTTTTGTCTTTTAAAATAATATATTTTATTTATTTATTTGTCACAGAGAGAGAGAGACAGAGAGAGCGCACAAGCAGGGGGAGGGACAGAGGGAGAAGCAGGCTCCCTGCTGAGCAAGGAGCCTGATGCAGAACTCCATCCCAGGACCCTGGGATCATGACTTGAGCCGAAGGCAGATGCTTAACTGACAGAGCCACCCAGGGGCCCCTGGTTCCTTTTCTAAATGTGCTTCCAGTCTTCTTCAGGACCCACCCAGGTTCCTTATGCCCTCCCTAATTGCTGGGTGGTCCTGCTGCACTTGCCTATAGGCCCATTCTCTAGGCCCCTATTTATCATGCACCTTGTTCTTAAAATTTTCTCAGAGCTCTGACTGTGGGTGTGAGCCCCAGCATCCCCAGGGGGAGGAAGCCCACACATGCAGGTGGCATCGTGTGTGTTTTGCCATCTTGGAGTGGGACATGTTTGTGCCGTAGCCTGCACTCCTTGGCTGCAGGCCACAGTGGGGAGCCCGTGGGCGAGGTCCCACCAGCCCAGCGTTTCGTGGAACAGGTCCTAGCTCTGCCTTTTTCTGCTGTGACAATAAAACCTCCCACCTGTTAAATGTTTTTTTTTCCCCTCAGAGCATCAAGAGGCTATTTCCTAGTTTCAATAGCTGAATAAGTAAATAACTTGAAAAGTCTACAATATGGAGAATAATTTTAAAATACTATATAATATTTAACACATGATATAAAGGAAGATATTGATCAATGTAGGTTTAGTGCATGGTATCTTGTCGATGTGTGTTTTACCTAAGCGATTTATTTTTTTATTTATTGTTTTTTTAGATTTTATTTATTTGAGAGAGACAGAGATAGTGAGAGAGAGAGCACAAGTGGGGAGGAGAGGGAGAAGCAGGCTCTCCACAGAGCAGGGAGCCCGATGCGGGACTCGATCCCAAGACCCTGGGATCATGACCTGAGCCGAAGGCAGACACTTAACCGACTGAGCCACCCAGGCGCCCACCAAGCAATTTATTAATGTTTTAAAAACCAGTGCATCCACATGGCAACCACAATAACAAAGCAATGCATACTCTGAAGGACATAAAATTGAAAATAACAATACACTGTTATCAGTCAAGCTCCAAGTGGGTGATTTAAGAAACCAGAATTTCAACTGCATTATTAGCATTACAATATTATGAGCATGACATAAGAAACATTTACTAAAGTAATGCAATTGTTCAGTCAGAGATTGTACCAGGACATTCTTTTGGTAGATGATTCTACACAGTAAGTGTAGATTGAAACACTTTCCTTTATTTATTTTTTTGTTTTGTTTGTTTAAGAGAGAGAGAGAGCGAGAGACTTCTTGAGAGTGCCAGCAGTGGGGAGGGGCAGAGGGAAAAAGAGGGAATCTCAAGCAGGCTCCATGCTCAGCAAGGAGCTCAATGTGGAGCTGGAGCTTCATCTCAGGACCCTGAGATCATGACCTGAGCAGAAATCAAGAGTCGGATGCTTAACCGACTGAGCCACCCAGGCGCCCCTTATAGTTTCTTATATTTAACGGCATAGAGCCTTGTGATGTTTCTGGATGTGTCAGTCTGGTTAGGCTAAACTACAGGGATATAAGGGAGGGACTCCAGGACTTCTTAGCATCCTCACATCTCTTGCAGCTATTCAAGCAGATCCTAATCTAGGTGCTGCTGTGAAGGGATTTGGCAGATGTAATTAAAGTCCCTAAAGGAATCTAAACGAGGGTGATGATCCAGGTGGACCTGACTGAATCAACAAAAACCTTTAAAGGAATGGTTTGGGCATTCCCTGAAAAAAATTCCAAACAGCAAGTGGAGTCTACATTGTCCCAGTTGCTCCGGACTGCCTGTGGAAGGTTCTAGGCTGCTCCTGCTTTCCCTCCCTGAATGATTGCCCCTCTGTTCTCAGACTGGCTTACCTGGTGTCTATAGTCCCCATAGAAGTCAGTTCCTTGTAGATTCTCTTTTCCTCCTGCTCTCCTTCATCCTCTCCCTCTCTTCCTCCCTCTCCTGCCCATTCCGACCCCCTGACCATTAAGGTTTATTTCTCTGGTTGATCCCTGACTAATATAAGCCTGACAGATTTATCTTCCCTATTAGTACATTTCACATTCTACTACCACCCCCCCCCCTTTTTTGTGTGAAAATGACCCCTCTCTTAGTTTCTGTGAAACACACATGCTGGTTCCTCTGGTGCATAGAAAATTGTAGACACAATAGATATTCCTGTCTCTTGTGTAAAGTCTTGTATAATTTCTTAGTTATCCTGCATATCCTTCTATGGCATAATGTGCTACTCCCATTAATATAATAAATACCCATGCGCAGTCAGCAAATGCTAGATATTTGGAAGATTTAAATGTCCTAGAATCAATATATACTAAAAATTTGGTCAAGAGTAATCACGAAAGTTATGGTAGGAAGACATAATAGACCATTTCCAATAAGTTTAGGCCAAAATGATTATAAGGTTTTCCACTTCAGTGGAATTTTATTTTATGAACCTCTTTCAAACATTCTCCTTTTTAATCAACAGTAGATAAACCACAGGATAATATCACAGAAAAAGTGATCTTCAATAAATGAAAATAAAAAATTATTTCACTTCACTAAATGGTTTCTAAAACACACTCTCTAAATGATACATCTAAAACACATCACCAGATAGACTTATATGTACTCATCGAGATCTAATCATTCATTGAATAACGTGTAACGAGTTCATCCTAAGTGTAGATATTGCTGCAGGTGCTGATGATACATTAGTGTCATTGCCGTCATTAATCCTACGTATCAGGGGAAGGCACAGAAATCAATAACTAAAAATGGATGAAATAATATTAGATGTGACAAGTGAAATGAAAACAATAAGATGAGGGATAGAGAGGGATGGGATTAGCTATGTCACATGTATTTGTATCTATATTTTGTGTACTCTAGTTATGAAAATGGAGCTGCAAACAAGACACAGAAAATCCCTTTCCTATACAACCAACAATCTAATTCAGGGAAGGCATACATCCGACATTAAATAAGTAAAACATATGATGAGTTAGAGTCTGATAGTACTCTGTAGAACAGTAAAGGAGGAAAGAGGAAAGGAGGAGCAGGGAGTGGGGATGAGAAGAGAGGATGCCCCAGATCTCAGCAGTGGGGCTAAATAATGGATTGCAGTCCAGCCCATATAGCTCCAAAACCCACTCTTGAGGACCAGGGGGGCTACTTTGCAAATATGTGAGTTGGAAGAGAGGAGTCAGGAATTCACTTGTCAGGGAGGCTCTTAATGTGCACTTCATCAAGAACTTATTAAGTGGGTAAAATTGGTTGGATAAAAGAATTTCGATCTTGGTACAGAAAAGGAGGGGGAAAGGAGAAATAAAGTTCCGAGGGTTCTGTGAATTGGCAAGGCTAAGCCCTAGGTATAACAGATTGATCTGTCATGACACAGAGAATCAGTGAGATTCAACAGAAGAGATAAAAATGGGTTTATATTCTGAGTAACCCAATGTCCTGGCTGGATTAGGTGAATTTAAGGAGGGAAGCAATCGGAGCTGGTTATTAGAAGATGCCTCCATGTCTCCGTGAGGAACAGCATCATACAGAGAGACCTGAAAGGGAGGACAAGGATATTTGTCAGTGACTCCAGGAAATTACAGCCAGAATGGCTCATGAGAGGGAACTCTTAAGAAGAAAATGTGCCATAAGCCGGATATGGAACTCCTCCAGCTAAAAATTGAGGAATGGTGTGTCAAGGCAGTGAACATTCAGCTGCATGGAAATTCTTTCTCTCAGCTGAAATCTATATTC